CATGGTTTCCACTAATTACTGTGTTTGGTAATTCTTTTTGGTAGCAGTTGACATAATTTCCTATAGAAAAATTTGTTCTTGCTGTACAAAATGGATAGTGATTGATCTTTAAATTGATAAAGTATATCTTCTTTGTGACTGTAATAAATTATCTTTTGAAAGGGAGCATCGGGTCCAAAACAGTGTCTCATCCAAGAGTTATTTATATTTCTTGTTGAAATATAGTCTGTGAATACATTTTAGGTGAATTTACCTTTTAAATCATGTTTTACTTAAGCTAATACTAATATTGGTAGGCATGCTCAATCTTACAGCAAATTATATTTATAATTCAGGAAGTTTGGGATGATAGAGGAGAGCTAAAAAATACCCAAACAAATCTACTTTACAGTTAATAAAAAATTATAAATATATTTGGCATTGTTTATGTTAAACCATCAGAAGTTGAATAATAATTTTCTTTTGCTATTAATACATGTTTATCTCTAAATAAATCAAGGAAAATCAGCAGCACTAAATATTAAAGCACTGTGAACGTTAAGAAGAGCAGTTAATATGCTTTAAGTCTTAGTTGTCTTTACATTGGTATGCTCAAGAATTGTGAGGGTATAGAATTATTTCTCCAAGTATAATTCTGAGCAGGCTTTCTTGTACATGTTTATTAGGTTCTAACGTTGAAGTTCTCATTCAAGCATGAGAATTAGATACAATCTATGCCCTCAAGACTAGAATGCATAGTTGAATAGTTCTACACTGGTATAATTATGATCAGTCTAACATCTGGAATAATCAGTTTTAAATGTTTAACTACTCTGAACTCTGACCCAAATCCAGATATGCAGTTGTAAATAGATTTCCCTCTTAATACTCAAGAGAATTAACAATTAAGACAATGTTCTAAATAGTTATTTTTGTAAGATATTTATATATGTGCCAGAATCTGCCAGACAGCCTTCTATGGTAAATCTCAGCTAATAAAAAACCTTTTAAAAAGATTACAAGTTAGGAAATAACATTTCAACACTGTTATTTAATTGTTTGGACTTAGACATTTACCCTAGAAAATAGTTAAAGAATTCTTGATGGGATTCTTGAGATAGCATTTTACCCCCTATTTATTGCAAACTAAACTTTCTCTTTGCTGACATTTCCTTATGGTCAGTAGAGGGAGCACACGTTTTCTAACAAACTTACAAAACTGAAATGACATCATTAGCAATAGTATAAAGGTAGAAAATTCTAGGCTAGTTTATACTGGTTTATGTTTCATGAGCCATGAGAAAAATAAAAATTAATGGGTAGAAACCCAGGAACCTTAAAGATAAAATGTAGTATCAAGCTTTGAGGACCATATCTTAAGCTAAGAGATACATTAACAAGAAAAAGTTGACATAGTGCCTTTAAAATTTAAAAATCTGGACTATGATGCATTGATTGTGTAAGGATTAAATTTAATTTTACTAGAGGTTTTGTTGTGTTTTATTTCCTTATCATGAATTCTAAAGGTCATTGTTGGGCTATCTGAAATGGTTTACTATATAATATACTAAATTTTGAATGGTAATGATTTATTCATGAACTAGTTATGTTTTCACATTCTTTAAGAAGGGCTTGAAAATTTTTTTCAGCACAGTATCTTAAAGGCTGATTGCATTGTGATTAAGGACTTAGTTATTAATTAAGAACATATATTTCAGCAAAATAATAACAATAATGTTAACCAAAATATCTTCTATAAATGTGGCTGGTAGTTCCAATGGAATGTTTACATGTTTTGTGAGCATTTGATGGCACATGGAAAAGATCATCCTTGTCCTTGTCAGAAGTTGTTATTAATTTGTTTGAATGGTACTATTTAGACTACAAAGAAGCTCAGATGACATGAATGCTTATTTGTGATACTGCATTAGTATTAATTACAGAGAATGAAATCACTTTAATCCTTCTCTCTAGGATTGATTTTATAGCAATCAAAATAATGTCCCTGAACATTTTTATAAAACTTATACATTTTGAAAAAAACATCTGACAGCTTTTCAAGTTAAATAGGGCCAATGGAAATATTAATAGGTTCATTTTACTGAGGAGTTGCTTGAAGTGTATTGAGATTTAGTGAGTTATTCAAGGTTGTATCTTGTATTTAACAGTCAACAAAACTAGAATCCAGAGTTCTTAACTCCTAGTTCAAGGAGTTGCCAACTAAAAATTCATGTTGTGGTAATCTAGAATAGATGATTCTGAAAATATAGGAAAATTATTTAAATTATTGATCTTTTGTTAAGTGCCTGTTTTGTACAAGGTATTGTGTTATTAATTTTGATAAAAAGATGAAAAAAATCATAACCACCCTTGAAGCTATATTGTGTAATGGTGATACAAATAGTAGACAAAAAGTATTTAAGCCAATAACATATTTATATCATATGAAAGCTAAGAATACTTTTCAAAGCCAATGTAATAGACAACCCCCTAAATACTAGTATACATGTAGTTAAGGAGATTTGGAGGAAATAGAACGAGGTTCTGTGCTTATAATAATATACGAAGAGAGTGGCTCTGAGATGGAGGAACAATACTTCTTGGAGGAGGTAGCATTTCACATTCATTTAAGTAAGATTACTGGAGCAGTCACATTGAGCAGAGGTGGTTTTGGAAGCTATTCATAGTTAAGAGGGAATGCTAAATCATAATAGAGATAGATGAATCCTTAGAGACTGTCTAGTACATGCACTAGTTTTACAGCTAAGGAAACTGAGACCCAGAGTGATTCTGAGTTATTTGCCCAAGGTTAGTCACACAGCTGGATGGAGCCAGAGCTAGAATTAGATCCCTTCCAAATGACTGAATATGAAAAAACAGTGAAACGGATTGATAACAAAATCCAGAAGGTGGCAAATTATGGAAATATATCAGATATGTAGAGTATAATTTTTGTTGAGGTATGATTTCCATAAGTCTTTAAAAGACAGGAAAGAGAACTAGTTTTTGGTTTTTTGGGCAGAGTAAATCAAAATAGAAGGATGTAGCAATCCATGGAATAGCTCAAAAAGTAGGATGAGCTGCCTTATGGCATATAGGAAAATGACCTTCCCAGCAACTCCTAAGGCATTTTATTAACAATAATAATAAATATAATAATTAAATTATTAATAGAAGCTATCATTTATTGAATGTCAGGCAGCATATCAAGCATATGTGTACAGTAGTTTATTTAATTATTTCAGCCCTGAGACCTAGGTATTTCTATACCATGTTGTAAATGAAGAAACTATGGTTTAGTTACTATCTAGTCACATAGTTAATCACCTATGGAATCAAAATTTGAATCCTGATCTCTTTGAATTCTAAAGCTAGTGTATCTCAAACTTGAGTAATGAACAGATACTTCTAAAGGAAAAATAATCTCCTACCCTCATACCCCATACCAATTTATTTTTATTATAAGGTACTTAGCTAGGTAAACACAAATTCCTGAAGCTTATAGCTCATGTTAAATAATTAAAAACTAAACAAATAAATACAATAAAAGCTTATAAAATCAATAAAATTCAAATTACATTAATGTGAAAGGTGAAGTTTTTGCTCAAATGAAAATGCTGATTGCAAGATGAATTTATAGCTAACTTCTGTTGCACAGGTTCTTTTGAATTTGACATACCTGTACTGCCATGTGCTTTGCAATAACTTTGTTTTTCCACCACTTTTCTCTATTTTGACTTTTTCAAAATATCCCTTTGGACAATACTCTATAGTATCATTTGACCTTCACTTGGTGTAATTATTTATTTATTGTTAATCCTGGCTTTGTTTTCATTAGCTGTAACTGAGATTGCTTTGATGGGATGGGAGGTCAGACATGTATCATTAGACCTCCTTCCCTTTGGGGCTTAGACACAACTCCAGACCAGCATTAATTTTAAAATAGAGATTATGAGACTGACAGAATAAAATCTTTGTGACAATAAGACATAAAATTATAAAAAGAACCTAGGGCCACGCTAGACAAGGGTTAAATCATGTCTGAAGGCCACCAATCTTGCTAAACAGTTCATTTCAACCCAGTATATTGTGGCTTGCTCCTGGCAACTGACTCTGATATAGCATCCTTATCTTAATTTGCAGCTCTGCAATGTTACAGCATTATGTATTTAGTTATAAGGTGATAGCCATATGATCTATAATATGTTTATGTTAATTACTTTTTAGGTTATCATTTAGAGGAAACCACACAATTTGAGAAATTCACAGACTCTGCTAATCTTAACCAGGACTTTGTTGTTTCCACTTAAAGGAAAATTGTATTGTACTTTCTCTCAAAATACTATATCCTAGTACCATCTGGTTTCTGTAGGTTAATAATGGACATCCCAGAAAAGTCTCTATCTCCATCCATTTCAGTGCTGCCCCAGTTCAGGCTAAACAAACCAAACAGTTTTCCACAATGTGAGTTTTTTAGAATATAAACTCTTAGGACTTGGCTTAGGAATCACCTTTCTGAAAACTTTCCCACTTTGCTCTCCTTACCTCTTGCTTTCACACCCCATCCATCATACTTCACCGTCTTCTCTCCCAGATTGAATTAGTTAGCTTTTTCCTTCCTGTTTTTCCTATACATACCTCTGTTACGTGCTTATTAGCACATCGTGTTGTAATATTTGATTTTTCAATCTCTCAAGTAGACTAACTATTAACTTCTTAAAATTAAGGCCTACATTGTGCATCTCTCTAGCAACTTGTCTGAATGGAAGAAGGTTCCAGTGATATAGTTATGATCTTGAATCACTGATCAGTCAGTTGTGATTTTAGAAGTGAGGAGTCCAAGGTAGGCAAAAGCAAAGTAGACATTTCCTTGTCCTTCCCATTCATTTATGTAACATTTATATGAATTACCTAAATAGTTAATGTGGTAGACTATTTGAGCACGATAAGCAAGATAATGTTGGAAGTAACCTCTCCATATAGAATTAAAAGATAGCATCATTTTGTTTATCTTCTGATAGGTGCTGTGATTGTCTCCACACCCCAGGATATTGCACTGATGGATGCACACAAGGGTGCTGAGATGTTTCGAAAAGTCCATGTGCCTGTAAGTATTTACAGCTTCACATATAGGGAAACAGGTGAAGAAAAGATTACTTCTTTTACCTCTGCTTCCTACAATTCAACTTATTTATAGCCCACCTTCTTCTAGAAGGTATTTCAGGATAATCTTTATAATAGGTGAAATAAAACAAGTTAAAAATAGACAAAGAATTAAAATCAGATGGAGTCAGAAGTGAAGTTAGTAAACAAATTGCATACCATTAAGGAACTTTAACACATGCTAGAGGTGTAGCATAAATTTTCTAACAGCCAAGGGAAGAGAAACGTTACCTTTATAAAACTGTCCATTTCCAAAAGGTTAAAAAGTGCTGGATGCTCAGGAGAAATGGAGCTGAGACTAGAGAGGCATATCATCTCTGACTTCTTGGAAAGAAGAAACTGTACATATAAATGAATACTCTCACCACCTTCTTTACAGGAAATCGAGGGTTCTTCTAGTATGTCTCAAAAAAGCAGGTGGAATTGTGGCAGAGGACAGTTTAGAACAAACATTTTGGTGTACAACCAGTAGGATGCTTCCATCTTTGTGGTCCCCAATTCCTCCACCCCCAGCCCCCACCCCCATAGACCCCTGTCCATGATCTGTTAGGAACCAGGCTGCACAGCAGGAGGTGAGCAAAGCTCATAGCAGGCAAGTGACCAAAGCTTTGTGCTTACAGCAACTCCCCGTACCACCCCTGCCCCCAAATCCATGGAAAAATTGTCTTCCATGAAAACGGTCCCCGGTGCCAAAAAGGCTGGGGACTGCTGCTCTAGTGGCCTTGCTTAATTCACAGATAGATTTTAGAATTTATATAACAGAGCTTTTTGAACTTCAGCTCATGGATTAGCTTCAGGGGTTCTCATGATTTTCTATCCCCCACCTCCCCCTGCCCCAAATTGCCCAAATTGTATGTTCAAGTGTATTTGTTTGAGTATAGAAAGAATTTATAACTTTTATCAGATTCTTCAGTGAGACCATGACACAGGATAAGATCCAGTAATATAGTAGCACGAATGGACTCAGTGAAGCTTTCATAAATGTTTATTTCTCAGGGGAGCTTCTGAAAAGTATCAAACAGTACAGTAGTGGAGTTGAGGTGATCCTCCTTGACAAGTACCTCTTCTCCCTTGCCAGTTAGTTTAGAGCTGTGTGCATTGACAAACCATGAAGCTCTGAATTAGGTTGAGATGTTCCAACCCAGGGCTTATGAAAATTGAGGAACATGATAAGGAAGGTGGCTATCTGCCTACCTTCCAGTTGATCTAAGGGTATTTTCACTAGTAGGGGTAAAATTGTAATCAGCAAGTAGTTTAGGGCCAGTGTTCTATGATATGACTTCTAGCTTGGAAAAATTTTAAAGCAAGGGTAACCAAATGCCTCTTCAGACAGAAAACTGTCTCTCTAAAGCACCTGATTTGAGCAATATGACTTCCTATAATACTCTACAAGGTAAACTAGATATAAATAATCCCTGCTCAGGTAACTCAGTAAGGTTACTAATATGGTATTTTAAAATATAAATCAGCAAAATGTTAGGTTACACACCCAAAATTATGACACTGAGTTAACAAGTTATCTATAAATCTTTTTGGCAGAAATAGAGGGTCAGTAGTCTGTTAAGACCACTTTACGGTAAGGATAATAGCCATTTAATCTGCATATAAGTGAATGCTTAACTTCTCATTCTGTAAGATGAGGGTGGAAGCATATGTCTAGCTCACTCATAAACATTATGAATTGCTTGGGGAAAAAGTTTTAAAGAGAGCAGAAGCCAGACCTGTTTTTAACCCTCCCCACCCCCAGTAGGTTATCATTTTGTATACTAACAGACCATTTCAGCTGATACTGTCATTTGAGTTAACTATGGCTATGAGGCAGGTCCAGCCTGGATTTTGTTAGTTTGGATTCTAATGACTCATAGGCTGATAGGATTACTTCAGGGATTAGTTAGAGAGTGAAAGGACTGTTTGGGATCAGATAGTTCATGTTAGAATTTAAGTTTGTGGAGTTGGAGCAGTTCTGGGTCATGACAAGGTCCAGGATGTGGTCATGGGTTGGGCAGGACTTGGAGTGGACATGAAAGTCATTGAAACTGTATAATCTCTCCAAGTCAAAATTAATAGTTCCTTCCTCTGGCTTTTCGGACATCTTCCTATATCTTTACTGTAGCCCTTGTTTTCACCTTGCTATTTTAATTATTTTCCTCTAAACTATAAAATTAAAAAAAAAAAGATAGAATGTCTCAATCATCTCTTAAACTTGTAAAACAAGATAAGTGTTCAGTAATGTTAGCAAGTGAATGAGTGAGAACTTTTCCAGTAATGAGCTCTGTGAACAGCTGGGCAACTGTGATATAGCTACATTATAAAGGGGGTCTTGGTTGTGAGTAGAAAGTGGATTCCATGACCTCTGAGATCCCCCTAGCTCTTTAGAGACTCAGAGTCTAAGTGATGATAAAGTGTTTGAGATTAGAAAGTATTCCATAAATACAAAGATGTTATGCTTTGTTTATACCACTTTCTTCCATTTTCCCCTCTGGTTTTTAGTCTTGCTCTCTGTTTTTCCCCCATTTGAAGTGCATTAGTTACCATGGAAACAATAATGTCATTGGAATTCATTGGTATGGACAGAGTTTAGTAATGTTAAAACTCAAGGTTTAGATAGGGAAAGGAGGGGAGAAGAAATGAGCTATGAAATTCTCTGTTCTCTGCCTGAAATGATACCAACTATGCCAAATCCTTGATTATCTCAGTAATTGTGGGTACATTATATATTTAATCTATTTAAAAATGATAAAAATTTTCAGTTATACATTTTTTTATGTATTGTGTCATTCTCACCCACTTTTGTTACCTTGTTATACAAGGGAGTCGCAGGTACCTGGATTTGGAGCCTTTCTCCCACCGTTTGAACTTTTGGAGTCACAGGGATTTCAGTCTTCCTTTGATAATCTCCTTCCCAGCTCCTGAAAAGTTTGTTAAAGTATATTGCTTTCTTACTCCTTCTACACATAAGGGATTACTTAGTTAATTTTAATTCAACACAGTGATTAATTTATTTATTCCACAAATATATATTTACTGGTATTGAGCATGGTACTGTAATAAGCTTCCATTGGTGATTTGGGTAGGGGGCTTGGGGGAAAGGAGGATGAAGCCTCTTTATTCAAGTACTTTCAGCATCCTTGGACTAACACTTATGGTGCAGGGGCCCTAAACTTTGAGGAGCATGAAAATGCTTTGTTTTCTAGGCTACTGGAAAAGCTATGATTTTTTTTTTCATGTCCCTGTAACTTTGCACATGCTGATCCTTTGCCTCATAAGCCATTGTCATTTTAGGGAACTTGTATTCATTTTAAAAATTTTTGCTCAGGCATTATTTTCTCTAGAAACATTTTCTCAATCAGCCAGAAAAAGTTAATAATACTTTCTCTGAACTACTTGAACATATATCCGTTTGACTTTTACCCCAGTACAGGTCTACCTGTCTTCCTTCATAGAAGAATGTTAAGTTCCTGGATGTCAAGAAAACATACCTTAAACATCCTTAGTTACCTGGCACATAGCAGGCATGATAGATACTTTGACCTGGGATATAATGCCATCCACATCTTCTATTCCCTTCAATCCTAGCTCATGGGCGGCTCTGCCTATGTTCTCTTGCTATAGCCAAACTGGTCATCTTCCACTTCTTTGAAGTTTACATATGTGATTTTTATCCTCAGGTCCTTGGCATGCTGTTTCTCTGAGAACATTTTACTTTCATTTTTTACCTGTTAACTCCTTTTTATACTTTGGTACTTAGATTAAACAAATAGCTCTTTGTCTGGGAGAGTTGCCCTACCCCTTTTAACCAGGTGAGCTCTTTAACCCTTTGCACTCACTTGCTTTTTTCTCGTCATCCACTCAACATATCCACACTCAACATCCGAGTGCAAAGGGTTAAATTTTATGATCTAATTTTACTCTATTTCCCCTTTTGTAACCATTTCACATTTGTCAGTACTTTCACATTTATGGTACCATGCTATAAACTCTGTGAATACAGAGACCACCTGCCTACCTCTGTGCCTAGAACATGTAGCTGCTCACTAAATATATACTGAATGAATGAGCAGAGTAGGATTTTCATAGGCATATCTGGGGAGGGGCAGAATTCAATCTGAAAAGAATGAGGAATGTACAAGTTGTTTTCAGGATTGTTGAGTTTGTCGATAATTGGAGTAATATGTATTGGTGTATCTGTGCTAGGGCCAGGTTTGATAGAGCATTAAAGACTAGGCTAAGGAATTTCTACTTTCTTCTTAAGATTATAAGAGGAATTCATAAAGAATGTTGGATAGTAAGTAAACATAATTAGGATAGAGCTTTAAAAAGGTGGCTCATTCTTCCACTTTGAAGGTTTAAAAAAAAAAAGGCAGCTCACACCTATAATCCTAGTACTTTGGGAGGCTGAGGTGGGAGGATCGCTTGAGGCAAGGAGTTGGAGACTGGTCCCCATATCTACAAAAAATAGAAACATTAGCCAGGCATGGTGGCATGCAACTGCAGTCCCAGCTACTTAGGAGGCTAAGGCAAGAGGATTGTTAGAGCCTGGAAGTTTGAGGTTGCTGTGAACTATGATAATGCCACTGCACTCTAGTCCCAGTGACAGAGCAAGACCCTATCTTAAAAAAAAAAAAGTTTTAATCTGGTGGAGATGAATAGAAAGGACAGGAGCCAGGAAAGCATGGAGGCAGTAAGGAAGCATTTGCAATGATCAAGGTTATTAACACTGTAGATTGTGACCCACCAATGGGGTCATGAAATCAATAAAGTTTTTAAATGATATCAGGGTAAATTGCTCTTAAGAAGAGAAAGTCTCATTTCTTAAAGATTTGGTCTCAGTTATAAATACACGTATGTGTGTATTTGTATTGGATCAAGATGTAAAATATTTCTCTCACCAGTAAGACAGTTTAAAAAGTTGGAAAAACACTGGTGTAGATGATAGGCAGTAAA